TCTGAACTTTCAGTATGTATTACCCAATCTCTAATTTAAGTAATCAAGCTTCTCTTTCCCAATACTATTTACCTAGCATACTAGTGGCTAGGATAAAGTCTATGGCGAGTATCCCACTTTTTTTGTTTCATTGCTAAAATAGAACCCAGGGCCTCATATGTACTAGGCCAGCAGTGTACCACCAAGCCATATCCCATTTTTATCCCCTTAATTGTCTTTCAATTTCAAGAAGAAAAAAATGTCAAGTTGATAAAGTTGATTTTTCTACTGACTGATGTCCACACCCTTCCTCCTGACCCTGACTTGGGACTGAATAGCAATACCCTAGTAAGTAGATTATTTATTCAGTGAGCTACTTAAGGTTAGTGGCTTAGGAGATGAAAACAGGCACCCCTCCTCTTCTTCCTCAAATACCTTTCAGAATTTGAGTAATAGTTTCAGGTAGTAGTAGCAACACCTTTCTCGGTAAAGATTTGTGTTCAGGGTTTATGTATAGTTAAATGAGCCAGTGGAGTGGTTTCATAATTGCTGTATTGTTAGTCAAACTCTGTAATTAGGGATGACTTCATAGGCATAAGATTCTTCTATGGGTGACGCCCTGAATTCATACCCAGTTGTACACCATATCCTTTTATGAAAAAAAACAAACAAACAAGGTTTTGTTTGCTTTTGCTTTATTCCCTTAGTTGAAAATCTGTTTTCCTGTGTCTCAGATGTTTTGGGAGAGAGGTTTTGCTTTTTTTTTTTTTTTTCCCCTGCTTTTTTCCTTATACAGAGGAGGTGGTCATTGGAGCTAAGGGAAAAAAAAAAAAAAAAACAACTGGGGGCAGATCAAAATGCTTTGTAGACAGGAGAATTCAGAAAAATATAGAGGCCCTGGGAGATTTTGCTTTTGCTTTGCATTTCATTTGCTAAGTGAAAATGGAGGGAAAATATATTTCTCTTTCTTTGAATATCAGTCTTCTCTTTCTCATGACCTGTAAATATTAAGTTCACTTTTGTGGGAATACAGTCTGAGGAAAAAGAAAGACACATTTCAAAGTCAGCCTTTCCCTTTGCTGTCAGTCACATATTGTAAAATGAGGGTTAAACTTATATTCAGCAAGTACTATTTATTTTTTTCACCTCTTTTTCTTTTATTTTCAATTGTTCATGGAAAAAAGTAAATTAGGAATGTGACAATATTAACAAGTGTGAGCTCTTTTGAAAATATTTAAAATTAGCTTAGTTTTTTTTTTCAATGTATCACTTCTCTACTCTTGAGGTTGTATTTAGAAATTGGCTTTATGAAGGAGCCAAACTGAATCATAGGTAAAAAGTGGCTGACAGGTTTTCTGTAGGTCCATCCTTAAATTACTTTAACTAAAGGCTTGTAATTTTTATATATTAGGGAGACCTATTATATTCTGTAGTCAATAATTATAGGGGAGATGAGATAACTTTTCATGTATCCTATTTAAAGGCTCTTAGTAAAACGAATGCCCTAATATTTATGTAGCCTCTCACAATTATTTTATGGTTATTTATTCCCCATTTTCTTTCATTAAGGATTTGAAGTTGCTGTCTTAATATTTTATAGTTTACAGAATGCCTTCACATGTACCATCTTTAATCTTCACAAGGACTCTGGGGAAATAATATTGCTATTCCAAAATGAAGAAACTGAGGCTCAGAGAGCTTAAAGAAACTTGTTCATGGTCATATTTTTAGTAAAAAAAAAAAAAAAAAAAGCAGAACCAGGGCATTGATTGATATCTTTTGATTTTGATTCCATGCCCAGCAGTCTTTCCATTAGCACACACATCACTTTAGGCTTTTATTAAGTCAGTTAGAAGAAAATCAACAAGTTAGAAAACTTAAAAGTGTATGTATATTTATATATGTATATATTGCATTAGAATAAATTTTTTGGAGTAAACTGATGCTGTAAAATAATCTATATGAGATTTAAGCATTTCCTAATTTTGTAAGAACAAAAGAACTACCTTCCTGGTCTCCCTGTGAAGGAATTAATAATCCTTAAAGTTTCCAGAGCCTTTTCCCCTCCAAAAAAAAATGGATATTTGTACCTTTTATTGTAGCCACTAATTCACTTTGTGTCCTACTATAATTATTTACATGCTTGCCTCCCCAGATTGTAAATTCCTCAAGGGCAGGAACTAGGCACATTCACAGATGTTTAAAATATGGCATGAGGATAAAAGTGGGGGTGGGAAGCATGTGGGGGGATATGAAGAAGGAAAGAATGAGATTTCTACCCTATTCAGCCCTGCTACCTATAGAGAGGAGAAATGGCAGTGAAAGATTTGGTCAAATTCCTGGTCAGCTGGAATAAGGATGGAGAGTCAGGTGATTATGTTCAGGCACATCTTTTCTAATTTTCTTTTTCATACAAAAATGTTGAAGGAGGGACTGAGGTTGTGGCTCATTGGCAGAATGCTTGCCTAGCATGCATGAGGCACTGGGTTCGATCCTCAGTACCACATAAAAATGTACCAATCTACAACTAAAAAATATTTTTTAAAAAAGTTACAAAAAAATGTACAGGAGCATAAGAGTAAAAACTGTGTGTGGTATTTTTGTTGTCATTTGGGGTTTTTCTTTACTCACTTTACCCTTTCATTCATTCATTTTTGTCACTCCTATACCACCAGGGAGGAAAAAGGCTAGGCCACAGTGCTCAATGCTCCAGAATTATTCAGAGTCAAATTAGTAGGAAAAACAGGTTTTATTCAAAGGAAGGTAGATGGAAGAAAATTGTTTCAAAGGTTCCATCTTGGAAATTCCTGAAAATTGGCAAAGGCAGGGAAGTAACAAAAGACCAGGAAATGTACATATGCAAGTTTAGTTAGCCTGTAGTTAGGCCTGAGTGGGCAATCTCTGCTCTCATCTTCTTTGGCACCTGTCAAAGTGGGAGAGAGTTTGCAGCCCCTCCAGCCTCCACTCTCAGCTGAAGTAATCCCCCCTGCATTCAAAAAAATTCTGAAATTGGCCAAATTTAGTCTGTTTCAGTAATGGGGATGGAACTCAGGGATGCTTTACCACTGAGCTACATCACCAGCCCTTTTTAAATTTTATATTTTGAGACAGGGTCTTTTTTTAACTACTGCTCTTCTGTTTAATTTCTGTTTTTTTTAAATATCTTATTTATCTTTATGTGGTTCTAAGGATCAAACCCAGTGCCTCATGTGTGTGAGGCAAACGCTCTGCCACTGAGCCACAACCCCAGCCCTTGAGACAGGGTCTTTCTAAGTTGTTGAAGCTGGCCTCAAACTTAAGATCCTCCTGTCTCAGCCTCTGTAGCTGCTGGGATTGCAGGCATGTGCCACCATACTTGTCTACTTACCTTATTCTTAAAGGGATATGTGAACCTTGAAAGTATTAAACGGTATATTTACCCTTCCCTAATTAGCTTGGCCTTATTGGCTTTTGTAAATATTATTTTAGTTGTAGATGGACACAATACCTTTATTTTATTTGTTTAATTTTTTTATGTGGTGCTGGGGATCGAACCCAGTGCCTCATACTCGCTAGGCAAGCACTCTACCACTGAGCCACAACCCAGGCCCCTTATTGGCTTTTTCTTGGAGCTTCCATGTCTTTGTACAATGTAGATTATTATACTTTTCATTAAATTATTCCTGACTCAAACTGCCTAAGCTGGAAAGGACCTTTAGAAATAGACAAGCCATGAGTTTTAGATTTTGTCACTTTCAAACTTTGTGAGCCATTGTTCTGCATGATATGATTCATGAACATGGATAGTAATTTTGTATTGAAAACCCAATTGCTAGCCAGGCAGGAGGATCACAAGTTCAAGGCCAATCTGGACAACTTAGGGAACCCCTTTCTCAAAATAAAAAATTTTAAAAGGGTTGCGGATATAACTCAATGCTTGCCTAACATGTGAGGCCCTAGTGGGTTCCATCCCCAGTTCTGCAGAAGAAAAAATAAATAAACAGAAAGGTAGGGGGGACCCAAAGCACAAAAAGTGGTAGCAACATGTAACTATTTTCTTTTTCCTTTGTTCAAAATTGTTGATAGGTTTGTATTTGGAGATTATCCATTATGATCTAGACCATCTTTGTCTGTTACAGGATTAAGCAAACCCTTTCTGTAAAGGTTCATCATTGTAAATATTTTATATCAGGAGGAAAAATCAAGGAAATTAAATATTTTTACAAATTTTTACTGAGAAACTTAAAAATTCTATTCTGGAGGCTGAAGTAGGAGGATCACAAGTTTGAGGCCAGCTTTCGCAACTTAGAAAGAACCTGTCTCAAAAAGAACTGAGGATATAATTCAGTGGTAGAGCACCCCTGGGTTTAATCTCCACTACCAAAAAAAAATGTGTATATTGCTATATACTTGTGATTTCTATATCAAAACCAAAAATATTTGTTTTAATTGATTTCCTCTTGACCCTTCTTTTAATAGTGTGACTGATAGATGTCAGTATGCTATTCAAAAATTTGTGTTTTCAGTGAATGGATGTGAAAGTGGCCTAAAAGTGATATTTTATATGAATCATTGGTCAAATGATTTTGACCTTAGGCTTTGGCACTATAAGCAAGAATTTCTATTATGTATCTATTTCCTGTTGTGGGGTACCTTGGCCCTTCCTTACAGGCTTTGAATGTAGTTTAAGCTTTTGTCCTTAAATGGAAGATTCAGGGCTGGGTGTGTAGGTCAGTCATAAAGCTCTTGCTCAGTGTCGACCAGGCCCTGGGTTTGATTCCTAGCACTACAAGGGGGGCAGGGGAGAAGGAAGAATCGGAATATTTTTTTCTGAATAATTTTCAGTAAATGAAGACTTCTCATTACTTTGTTTTCTTTTTTATGGTTATAGCTACAAATATGGTAACCTAACTGGATCCTGCAAACCTTTAGTAGTTTGCAATTCTCTTTAGATTATCTTTTAAATGAGAATTTAGCAAAAATGCTTATAGTATATTCCTCACAAACTTTTAAAGTCTGAAACCTTTTTGGTTCCTCTTTAGATCTTTAAATGGATGAGATGGCTACCACTCAGATTTCCAAAGATGAACTTGATGAACTCAAAGAGGCATTTGCAAAAGTCGGTGAGTATTTTTTTTATAACTATAGGTAAGCAATCTTTTTTGATCTCAGTCAAAATTATTTCTCTAAAAAATTAAACGAATGATAAATTAATTATAATCCTTGTAGCAAGATAGTTAAAACAGGTAGATAATGTTTTGGAAGCTTCACTTAAAAATGTATTATCTAGTATATTTTGTGGTCAATGATTTTGAACCCCATCATTAAATGGGGGCTGCTGTGGTTCCTGACATTTTTATGTTGCATGTTGTTATTATTGTATTTTGGGTGTCATGTTTTTCTAAGGAGAGAATTTGGATTTTTCACTACATTCTTTGTTTTTCTTCTTCTGTAGTGGGATGGAATACAGGGCTGCTGTACCACTGAACTATATCCCCAGCCCTTTTTATTTTTTATTTTGAGACTGGATCTCACAGAGTTGCTGAGGCTGTGCCCAAATTTATAACCCTCCTGCCTCAGCTTCCCAGTTGCTGGGATTACAGTTGTGCTCCACTACACCTGGCTCTTGCACCATATTCTTAAAGGGATATGTGAACCTTGAAAATATTAAAAGGTATTTTTACCTTTCCCTAATTAGCTTGGCCTTATTGGCTTTTTCTTGGATCTTCCATGTCTTTGCACAATGTAAATTGTTCTACTTTTCATTAAATTAGAGCATGAGAGCTCGGAATGTAGCTCAGTGGTAGAGCACATGCTTAGCATGTCCAGCATTTCTGTGTGTGTGTGTGTGTGTGTGTATGAATAAGATGGGGAGGCATAGCATGCCATTAGTTTTTCTTTTGAGATCATATAACATGTCTTATAATTGAGCAGCTATGGAAGAAGTATACAGTTATTTACATTCCAAATTTCAATGTTTGGGTCAACTCTATGGAAGATAAAAAGGACAGTGTAAGAACTATTGATGTATATGTACCCTCATGAGTCAACATGTACTTAGAGAGGTGGGCTATCACAGTTTGGTGTCTTCCAGTCTAAGGGATATAAAGTTTGATTATAATGATTTTTTAATTTAAGTCAGAATTTACTCTTAGAGCTGTGCAGAAAATCCCATCAATGATAAGGAAGAATACATCCCTATAGAATACATTTTTATTTCCATATATTTATCATTGACATTTCTATCAAGTCATTTAATTGTAACAGCATGCATTGGGAAGAATAATAACCCCCAGCCAGAGTGCATATGCATAATCCCATCAGAATTGTAATTAGGAAAACATCAATGGTCCTGAATCTAACTCAATTTTGTGTGTGTACATAAAAAAACCAGTAAATTAACTTGCCATATAGATATCATTTACTGTAAGAAGAGTACTACCTAGTCTAATATTAGATTGATTATGAAAAACAGCAAATGAGTTCTTGACTACACGATGGGTCCTTCCCCATTTTTTTCTATGTTATTATTCTTTCCAAATAATCTTATCGTGATTGTTTTAGGAATGCCATTTCCTGTGTACCTCCCATTTTATTTATGTTAATCTTTCAGTGTTGGGGACAGCTTAATTTGTTTCATTATGAATAGAATCTTGGGGTAGAAACATATGCTTTACTAATGTTATAATTGTTTAATCTTCAGTACCTGGCCTACCCAGATAATTTTTTTGTTGGTGAATATAGGTCTTGTCTTAAGATGCAACATCACGGAAATATTTTGTATACAATGTTTCTTAAAATTTAAAGCTAACTCAGCAGGGCACAGTGACCCATGCCTGTAATCCCAGTGGCTCAGGAGGCTGAGGCAGGTGGATCATGAGTTCAAGGCCAGGATCAGAATACTTTTATCATTAAAAGAGCTTAATTGCCCCTTAGGGGTATAATGATATAAAGAGGGTTGACCAGTTATCTCCATGGAAGAACTAGGCTTAAATGGTAGTGAGAGATCAATTAGAGGTTTGACTGCCAAAAAAAAAAAAAAAAGGATTTCTATGAAACTATTAAGCAGAATTTGGGGTAGGCAAATAGCTTCTCAAAGGCAAGTCTTACTGAAATCCCTACCAGGCATACATTCCTATGTACAGACTTACTTACATATATGCTAGAAATAAGAATTTTGGAGTCCAAACTTTCTGCCTCTTCTGAAAATTACTCTCTTATATTCTCCTCTTGGTATCTAGTACAGTGCTGCACACATTAGGTTCTTAATAAATATTTAATTGATTGAATCCCAAGGAATTATACAGTCTTTTGATGTACTGGGATTTTGTCAATATCGACTTTACATTCAAAGGGACTTTATTAGGAAGATTTTAATTACAGTGGAATTTTTTATTAAAGGTTTCAACCATTATACTGTAAAACATAAAATTTATATTTTTTTTTCAGTATAATAAAGGCTTGTTTATAGTCTGTCCTTGAGAAACTCATTAAAAGGCTAAGCTGATTTTTTTTAATTTTCCTTTAAAATCTTTATAGTTTTTAGTTGTCATTAGTTACAGAGCCCACAGGCGATTGATAACGGTGGAAATTTATTTTTTCATTTGAGGAAGCTTTATTTTTAAAATAGTCTCTATAACTTACTTTCTTCTCAAGGACAATTGTTTCCTAGTTGGGCATGGGGGGATAGGGAGTACTACATTGTCTCAGTTCAACTGTGACAAAATATGGAAATCATTATATGATTTTCCCCATCTATTAACAATAATGGTCTTGATTGTCTCCTTAGAAATTCAGCAAAATCATAGTGTGTGGAGAAAATCTCTGTAATTACCACTAATCACAGGTTTTGTTCAATCAATTAATAGTGCTTTGAAACTCTTTACTAGCAATAAATTAAGTATTAGGATTTAAAGTTCTCCTTTTCACTCACTTTCTGCACCTGCTTAGTTTCAAACTCTAATCTCATATAATTATTACCATTTTCTCAACAATTGTTTCCAGCTTCCCACTGGGATAGCAGAAATCTTAGCTCTCATTTTTTTCTACTTCATAATATTTCTGTTTTAATTTAAATGCTCCTATCCTTCATGATCTTTCTAGAGGAATAAATAAACCTTTTCAGAACACTTAGGAAGTATTTCACCAGCTAGAAAATGTCTTTTACTTTCTGGCTTCAATCTTGCTATGGAAACAACACTTCCTTTTAAATCTGACGTTTTTCCCTCTCCGAATCACTTAACTGAACTTTTTTTAAACATAAAATTCAGCACTTTTGAAATACAAGAATAATGGGGTTTCTTAAGTGACTAGGAATAGTGTGGGTGTATTCCTTTGAGGTTGCCCACCAAACTAAGTCAAAAACTTTTGGTTGTGGTGATTCTAGCCAGACCATATTTTTTTTCTCTCATCCCAGGAAGCTGAGTTGTTTCCAGTTACTTCATATTCTCTAGTATATAAAAACCACATCAGATGATGCCACAAAAAAAAATATGGTGGTTTAGTCAAATTTACTTTTACTACTGAATAAAATGATACAAGTGCACATTTGTTTAATTATGTCTTAAAGAATAAATAAACTAACTATGCTCTTTACCATGCCATGTGCCATTCCATTATCCCTGTGATATTAGAAGTGGATATATTGGCTCTGGGATTGTGGCTCAGAGGTAGAGCACTTGCCTAGCATGCATGAGTCACTGGGTTCGATCCTCAGCACCACATAAAAAAAAATAAATAAAGATGTGTCCACCTATAATTAAAAAATAAATATTTTTTTAAAAAGAAGTGGATATTTTGGCATAGTGTGAAAAACATGGATTGACAGTATGGAAAATAGTAGGAGTACACACATGTGGGGGAACACAGTCAGTGTATGTGTAGGTAATTTTCCTTTTTATGTTTTGGTGGTACCAGGGATTGAACCCAGGACCTTGCACATGCTAGACAAGAACTCTCCCATAGAATTATACCCTCAAAATACCTACCTGTGTAGGTATTTTTAAAGTGGGAGACAGGCAGCAGGTAAAAAATAATGGCCATGCTGCTAGAACATTTGTAGAAAAGGATTGTTGAACAACTTTTTTTATTTCTTTTGGTGGTATTGAGGATTGAACCTAGAAGTTCTCTACCACTGGGCTACATATATTCCCAGACTTTTTTATTTTGAAGGAGACTCTTGCTAAATTTCAGAGGCTGGCCTCAAACTTACTCCTCTTGTCTCAGCCTCCCAAGTAGCTGGGATTACAGGACTGTGCCACCACACCTGGCTAATACCATTTTTGATTGCCTGGTCTTAGCCCTCTAAACTTGTCCATTCTTCAGCTGTACTTTTGGGGATCTGCTATTAAACTCTAATGTAGCAGGCTCTAATATACCCTTAGCTGAGACTCATTAAACCATCTCTTAGATTTGTTGGAGTAAGCTACCTCAAAAGGTATAAACTGTGAAAGACCAACCCCATTTTTAGCTAGACATCTGGAGATCTTTAGCAGCTGCCTTTTCCAAAGTTTTAATGCCTAATGAAAGTTTGACTTAACTGCTTAGATCTTAGAATGGAATATAAGTCTTTTGGCCAAGTCTTTTAAATCAATATTTTGTGAACTTTCATGGACATTCAAGATTGTATTTATGCCTGTGTGAATCCATTGTTCAACATTCAGATTCCTATTGTCATTTTTTTTGCTAAAAATTTGTAGAATACATTGGTTAGAATAAATGGAACTTCAAAAAGTCACTGAAATTTCATTTATTTTTTGCGTGTTGTATTATTCCATGTATTAAATTGAACATTTAAACCTAACTTTTTGGAAAAGATGTACATCTGCACTTGATTGATTTTCTTCTTTAAGTCCTAATGAGCGCTGTCCCGAGTGGGTTAATAAAGAGGCCACATGTGTGTTGCAGATGACGGCACACAATATTCGACCTCTTTATAAAGAAGGACACCAGATTTACACAGCTTCAAGGACAGTTAAGGCAATATACATATACACATTCACACACTCAACCTGAGGGTCAAAGGAAGTCCTCATCTTTCTTGCTGATGAATTTATAAGACAAAGTAGCACCCCAAAAGATGCATTTGAAGTGATAGATTGCAGAACATACCACCTGGGCAAGG